CTGAATCGGTGAGACGGATTGATGTTTCTATGCTGAAGCTGATGAGCAGCGCAGCAGATTTCCTGTCGTGGTGAATGGAGATGAAAAGATTATCCAGACGTTCGAATCATTCGGGAGGCAGGAAGGTTGGCCCGCGCTGCTGTTCCTTTCCTCCCCATCATAATTCAATATTTACAGTTTAAGCTGGAAAACTGCTCCCACTTGGCCTCCTGTATCTGGTAACCATGGCAACAGATTTGAGAAGAGAGTGCCGTCTTCAGTGTCTGAATATGTGTGTGTGTCTGAGAGTAATCTCTACTGATACACTGCCATTGATTGGTTGTTAGGGAGCAGCTGTTGACCCCTTGATCTCGGGGGTCTCTTTGTGCTTTCACACACATCTCAAATCAATGAATGTGAACACACACACGATTTGCTATTCTAGACTCATTTTAGGAGCTACAAAACAATACAAGTGACCTTAAACCAACTCAAGTCTAATAAACCAATGATTCAAACTGGATCCTCGATTGATGGGTGTATTGGAGGAGAGTGATTGGGTTTCAAAGTAATTACAATTATTTCACAGGCCAATAGGATCTGAACTGATGAATTGATGAAGCAGTGTTCAAGATGCTGTTTGGACATGATTATTTTAAACTTTCTTGAAGGTGAACACATAAAATGAATATTTCTGAAGTGGGGTTCTGTTAAAAAAACTTGTGAAAACAATAACATCTTACCTGTTGTAGATACCTCTCTGAATGATTTCAGTTTGAGGAAACGGATTTCATTTCTGACTAAACTGGCAAGCTAATAACTAGTCAAAATGGAGACCAAAGGGTTTTGCTGCTGTCAGTTGTTTAAAAAACATTTATGTTACTGTCAGTTTTAAGTTACATTGTTATTCACGTAGATTTTAAACTCAGAGGAGCCCCGCCTCTCGTACAGTGACTGTTGGAGACTCTTTGACTCTGAGTGGAAAAGCTGGTAAAGAAAAGGGATGTGGTGTTCATGGCCAGCCAGGACCTAAGAAGTAGTCATGGATGGAAGAGTACTTTGAGAACCTCAGGGTCTCATCTCTGCTTTTTGCAGCAGATGTGAGTCTTCTGGCCTAAATTTCACTTCCCAGTTAAATGCTATGGTTTTCACCTGGAAAAAAGATACAATATTTCCTGAGTCAGGGATAAATCTCTGCCTCCAGCAAAGGAGTTCAGGTATTAAGTCCCTATGAGCATGAAGTATGGATAAAGACCAACAAATGAGATCCTTTATACAAGCAGCTAAAATGAGCTTCCTCTGTAAGATGGCCAGGCTCAAGTTTAGACATAAAGCGAAGACCTCCATCTTTTTGGAGGGCAGCTCGTAGAGTGGCTGCTTCTTCGTATTGAGGTGGTTCAAGCGTCTGATTAGGATGTCTCTTGTGTCTCTCCCTCTGGAGGTTATCCTGCCACATGGGAGGAAACCGTGAGGCAAACTCTGTGGGGTTTACTGTATATCCTCTGTGGCCTGGGACTGCCTTCCCAGGAAGAGCTAGAGAGTGTCCCAGTGAGAGGGATGTCTGCGTCTCCTTCCTGGACCTGTTTCCTTTGCGACTCAATCACAGATGAACAGAAGTAATTGCACGGATAGAGGATTCACATAGCATCATGTTTTTTTAATGGTGGCAGCTATTTTGGAACACTTCCTGGGTTATGGGACTATTATCATATTTATAACAGAATAATCATGTGAAGTTGATGGTGATGTAAAGATTTATAAACTAACATTAAGTATATCATTTTTAATCTGTATGGGTTGTTTTAAGATGATAGTCATCCACTTCGGTCATGGTCACACTCAAACCGGCCATTAGCTCATCAGTCCAGTCAGAATTAAACAATGATTCCTCAAACTGAAGTTGTTCAAAGAGCTATCTGCGTCAAGATAATAATTGTTCTAAGCTTTTCCACTGAGTCCTACTTCAAAGGATATGAACCTTTACTTATACACCTTAAAAATTTGAACCCAATTGCCCATAAATATAATTGTTCAGCTTGTCTTGTGTTTAAATGGAAAATGTCACAAAGTGTGCAAATAATAGACTGCGCTCTTCTCACCACACACACTCACACACACAAGATGTTTGTGAATCTGATGAATCTCAGCAGGGGATGTGAAAACAGCCTTCTGTACATTCTGCTGATGGCTCTGCAGATTTTTAACAAGTTTGGAGCTTTTGCATACCACTAAGTTCACCCTAATGAAATAGCTCCCAGTGGGTGCTCTGCACACGCGCAAGTCGGGGATGAGGATCAGCTACTAGCTGTGGCACACCGTGAGGGAAAGGTCCTCTGACATCATTTGCATGACTTACTAATGTTAAAGAAGGTGTTCAGTGCAGGGAAGGTCAAGTTTTGCATGAATCTGTGATACAAACCTCACTTCTGCTGGCGATGAAATAATGGAACGACTTGTTTCATGTGAGTTTTCCATCCTGCTTTTATCTAACATATTAAAGGGGAAAGCACCAGCACTCACACACGAGCCCACACCCACACATTAACAGAACCACTTCAATCTGCCTTCATTCACTCACTCAACACCCCCCCCCCCTCCCCAAAAAAAACAACAAAAAAAACATGTGTAGGTGATGTGTGCTGTAGCAACTTCTGTCTTACTGGGCTCGAGCTGAGTTGGATAAAATTAAACTGTGTCTGTCAGATCACGTCACTGCGAGTCATTCTTGGAGTATAGTGGGTTCTGTGCAAACCATTTCATATTGAAACGAAGATTATACTTTTTTTATTTTTTATTTATAGCTTAGCCCACCAGTTTGCAAGATGTTTCATGAGGATACCAAAGAGAAGAACAGCTAAGAGATTAAGTGTGACTCGTCAATGGTTTCTCTCCCAGATAAGCAAAGTTGAATAGTGTTCGTTTTAGGAAATTCATTACGTCTGATGTATTTGAATGGGATGAATGAATGAGTTTTATAACTTTTGGAGATTTTTCTACAAAATGTTCACTGGACAGTTGATGTCACGTACTAACTTTTGAGCTAAAAATGTCAAAACATTTGCGATCAAAATACCAGTTAGTAAATGTTAGGAAACCCGCAGATTGCACTGAATCTCAACTTTGTTGCAGTCTCCCATCCTGAGCAGCACACTGGTGTCAGTGGAAAGGAAAAACTCATTGATAACAGGAAGAAACTTCCAGCAGAACCGGCCTCAGGATGAGCAGTCATCTGCCTTGATCGGCTGGGGTGACAGAGGACAGGAAAGTTATACAGTCAAACATGATGCGGCTAATGGCTGCTCCAGGTGTATTTTCTATAAGAAAGATAAAGAAAACCATGTAAATGATATAAATAATTGCAAATGCAGTCATGAGCAGTAGAGTGAGAGAGCAGCAGCATAGTGAGGAACTGTGATCAGTTTATCCTCCTGGAGTTTATGCCTATAGCAGAATAATTGAGATAGCTCAGGAAACCCTTGTCAACCCTAGAGTCAGAGTCAGAGATTATTTATTGTCATTTGCACCATATGTGGTACATGTGGTGGAACGAGATTACATACATGAGTCCCAGTTACATCCCACAATAAAATGTAAAAGAAAAACAGTAATAAGATCTAAGATATGAACTAAGAAAAATATAAACAAAAAATACGCTAAACACTAATAGCATAAAAACAATACGCCGAACAGCAGCACGAACATGAGTCTCTGTGAGCAGATGAGCACGTATGAACACATCAACATGAAACAGATCAGCAGCAACATGATGTAATTTTTCACAGTGATTATCCTGATTAGAGATTCATGAGTCTAACAGCCTCAGGGTAGAAGCTGTTCCTCAGTCTAGTGGTTCTACACTTAATGCTCCTCAACCTCTTCCTGAGGGGAGCGGGACAAAAACGTGTGTGTGCTGGGTGAGTGGGGTCCTTCATGATGAAGGTGGTACACCCTGGACAGGTCTCCAGTCCATCACAGGGACACATAGAGACAACGAGACAAACAACCATTCACTCTCTCCCTCACACAATTTAGAGTTACCAATCAGCCTAACATGCATGTTTTTGGTCTGTGGGAGGAAACTGTAGTACCCTGAGAAAACCCATGCATGCAAACTCCACCCAGAAAGGCCCCGAGCTGGACTTTGAACTGGGGCAACCTGCTCGCTAGGAGGCAGCAGCTCTACCACCTGCACCACGCCCATCCAAACTATAGTATTTTTCAAAATGAAAAGTTTTAAATCTAGTCTTAAAAGTAGAAATAATGTCAGCCTCGTGGACAGAGACATGTTGGTTCTCAAAGAAAGGATCCTGATAACGAAAACCTGTGCCTCCCGTTCTACTTTTAGAAACTCTAGGAACCACGAGTAAACCTGCAAATCTTCTATGCAGTTGTATATCTGATTATGCTGAAGAATTCTGCACAATATCTATGCTGTAATGACTCAGTGTGCACAACAAGCCTCCCCCAGGTGCTCATGTCCCTTTTTGCACCCCATTATGAAAACACCATGCATGCACGAGCTGTCCCTCAGGAGAAAACACCGGTGAAAACAGGAGGCGGCTTTGAAACAAGGAGGGGAGGCATGTGCTGAGCGTGTTTGCAGCCAGGGGGAGGCGGTGTCGCTCCTCCTCTCCTCTCCTCTGATCCGCTCAGCTTTGACCACAGAGAAAGCTTCCAGTCTGCTGGGTGAGATCATTACCAGACACCAGGCTCCGGGACCTGACATTCACCGATTGGAAAAGAGAAAGAGAGGGAGGCACACGCGCGCGTACGCAGAGAAAACCTCGATCCAGCGCAGCTCAGACTCGATCAGTCCGTCCTTCTTTCTGCACGCACGCCTGAGAAAAAAAAAAAAAAAAGCGCGATCTTCTTCTTGTCGCAGATCTTTTTTCATCCTCCTCTCTTGCTTGTTTTTTTTTTTTTTTTTGAAGGGGGTTTGTTGTAGTCGGATGCGGGCTGCTTGTTTTGACTGCAGTAACAGTGCTGCTCCCCCCTCCTCCTCCTCCTCCTCCTGTTCTTCCAGCCGGGGTTTGTGAGGATCTGTGCGGGACCGACGCGCGCTCCGCACCGCTGCGGCTCCATCCGCAGGGGCCTCTCTCATCACCCGGACACAAGTTTTCCCTTCGGATTTTCATCTTTATTCGTCTTTTTTTTTTTTTACCTCTACCTTGCTGCTCGGCTGCAAAACCCCATCTCCCTCTCTTCCTCTTTCTCTCCCTCTTCTCCAAAGCAGCGTTGACGCCATTTTTTCCCCGGGGTTTTCTGTCAGGAAAAAGCCACCGACATCTACCGTGGCTCGGGTTGACAGCTCCCCGGGAGGCTGTCATCCCATCCGTCGCTTGTGTAAAGTGTGTCTCGGCTAAATGGATTGTAAATGATCGCGATCAAATATTCACACGTTCGAGCTGACTGGGTGACAACATCAGACATGGGTAAGTAGCGCGCGGTCGACTGGGCACATTCCACACCTGAACACACCTCTTCATGTTTTCATGTCTGTATTGATGCTATAAAAGCTGCTGTCTGTGGCTGGTTCTGGTTGCTTACATACTTTAAACAGTTGGTGGGTACATTATTCTGGCTGAAGGCATGTGGACTGACTTGGACCAGATTTACGCACGTAGACACCCAAACAAGGCTGCAGCCAACCCCCCCGGCAGGCACCAGTCCTTCTCACTGTGCATTATCTTGGTGTTTGTGTGGCCACAACACTGATCTAAGACCAGCTCTTAGATCACATGTTTGCCCGCACTGAAGTGGTCCTCCTTGCATCTTCTCTTGGATCATCCATCCCATGGTATCACTTATTCCTGACATAGAAACAAACACATGGTTGCCTCTTTTTAAAGCCTTAAAATTTAATCTTAAACGTCTGCTTTTGGCTTTCAGTGTTCTTTAAACACGTACAGTTTTATTTGAAGTATACCACACATCCCACATGCGTGGCCAGGTTGCGCTCATGTGGCTTCTACGATGCAGGTAGAAGTGATCATGGTGAACACCTGGTTTTGCGTGTCAATAACTCATCGGTTTCACATGGGTGTCAGAATAAAAGCGTGCCCAGAAGTAAAACTGTCTTACATTGGTTGAGCTGAGGAAGGTGGTATATAAGAGTCAGCCTTCCAAAACTTCATCCACAACCACAGTGCACCTGAAGATAGACACGGTTCGATGGAGGCCAGAAAGGTGTGGAAATACAGCAGCTCTCTCAGCTGTGTGGGAGTGAAGTTGTGGAAGTGAAGTCTGTGTGATAAGGGCATGAATAACAGGTAAGAGATGTGTGACCAGGCAGCAAAAGAAAGAATGCAACAACAACAAAAAAAACAGAAAAGAACGAGCTGAGGTGGAGGGATGGATAATAGAGGTGATTCATCGATCTGGTCTTGTTAGCACTTTTCAGCTCCCCTCAAAGCTTGCAGCAGTTTTTGTGGCGTGCAGAAACGTCCAAACCTGGCTGTTGTACTCCCTATTAGGCAACAAGGTGCCTGCGTGCCACTTTCAAATTAAGGCATGGGAAATCGATTAGGTGCATCCCCTTCTGAGCTGAATACTTTGGGTCGAAAGAGGATCAGAGGGGAGGGGAGGAGGGAACATGAACGAGATCCAAGGACAAATCTAACTGTTGGCAGCCGCTCTTAACAGAATATCAGCGCTGGAGCACCTTTTGGCAGAGCACACAGAAAGAGGGAGTGAAGGCAGGAGGAGGAGGGGGGTGTATGAGGTAGAGGGTAAAGGAAAGCACAGGGAAGATGGGGGAACAGAGGTTGGAGGGGGGGGGGGGGGGGGGGGGTAGGTGAAGGAAAGGAGGAAGACAGTTGGGGAGCAGGGGAGGTGTTTTTGCTGACAGCCATTTTGTGGCTTCTGCTGCAGTTAAAATGGTTTAACATTCATCTGCTTGTGCGGAGTAGTTAGGTGTGGATGGCTTTAGTGCTACCTGGCATATGGCTCATCCAGTGTATGTGCGTGCGTGTGTGCGTGCATGCGCTCCAACATCATTTTCAATTATGGCTGCCCCTACACCTGGTGTTTTATGATTGTCCTTCTAGCTGGCTCGTAGGCGAACACACGTGTCCACGTTGAACCGTAGAGATAAAGGGCTTTACGCTTCAATTCACTCGCTTCATGTGAATAATCGCTTTTATGGCTTTCTTCACCTTGTTGTGCTCCGAGACAGAAGACAAATCTCTCCTCTCTGGACTCATGGAGGCTGGACCCATCCCTTTAGAATGGACCCTTCAGGAAGCATTGGTCTGTCCTGACTGGAGACATGTTTTGAGAGAGGAAACAGAACTTGCAGCCTCTCATTAATCTGCAGCCTCAGATGCTCTCCAATTAAAAAGGCAGGGGAAAAAAAAAAACTTCTTCGCATGCAGACGAAACAGCCATTAGGCGCGTTTCTGAGTCTGTAAGCGTGCATCTGTCTCCATGTGTGCATGAGCTATTTGTGAGTCCACCTCAGGCACTGAGCTGCTGGGTATGCAGCCTTAAAAGGTTGTGTTTCTGCTGCCATTTCTCCTCCTGTTACTCTCTCTTTCCCCGTTTCTCACCCTGTTCTTCTTCGGTTTTCTTTTTCTCTTCGCGTGCATTATTCACCGCCTCTCCTCCGTCCATCTGCATCCCATTATCGGCACTTTATCAATATTGTTAGTCAGGCAAAGTAAAAAAAAAAACGTTGCGAGACTGTTTCATTCACAGCCTTTCACATCAGCACAGGGAATGACCTTATGCTATCTGAGAGCAAAGCTGGTTAGAGCTGGCAGTTTTGAGAGCATAATAAAGCTATTTATGCAGCGAGTCTGGCCTCTCACAATCAGCCTGCTGTCTGAGGCTATGCAGAGGTGTGTGTATGTGTGTATGCATCAGTTGTTTGTGTTTATGACTGGAGAGCGGAGACAGTGAGGCTCAGGCTAAGTAAGTGAGGGAGTCTAGAGGAGCGGTCAGCCTTACATAAACCCTTGGCCTGTCAGTAACTGTACTAACAGTGCTTAAAGCACTGAGCAGGGAGGGAGGAGAAATAGTCGTGACCCAACTAAGTAGTTTACACAGCAATAGCCTGGAATGAGGACAGTGCTAATGCTTAATACCGTTGGGCTGTCTTTTAGGTTGAAAGCTGCGAAGAGTCTTAAGAACACCTCCCAAAGAGGAAATTCCTCCATTGTTTCTGTCTGATCTGTGAACACGTGCATGTGTCATTTTGCGTTTAGCATCCCTTTTTCCTGTCATTGTCTGTAGTCACATGACGGTCAGGGTGGCTTTCACTCAGTCGGTCTCTACAATGGCATTAGGGACCATGAGGCCACTGGAGGAACTTAGAGGGTCATGTGGGCACTGTCTGAGATCACACTGAGACTTTGCTTGGATTTAGAGGGAGAGCTTTTCAAGTTAGGTTCTATGGAAAGCGTATAAACAGTTAAAATCTCACCTGTTGTAGAAACCTTTTTGAGTAGCCTCAGATTTGATGAATAAAGTTTAATTCTGACCAGATGAATAAGCTAAAAGCCAGACAGCAAGACCAAAGTGGACTGCTTCTGATTTAACACGACTGGTCTTAAAAGTATAAAAGCAATTCATGTGAATGCTGTTTTATTTTAAAGAACTAACATGCCTTGAAGGAATATATATTACTTGCTACTGTTTGTGGCAAAATTTTAAACGGGGATGCACGATATTGGATTTTTGACCGTTATCCGATATGCCGATATGTTAAAACTTATTGGGCCGTTAACCGATACCAATATATTATATACTTTCCTTTGTCAGAACATAGCCCTCTTATTTAGGCTTATTTGCTACAAATATTGTGTAACAGCTGTAAGAGCTGGTGACATATATTCAGCAACAGCCATATGCAACACACTTTAACGTATATTAAATGAAAAGAGTTAAATGTTATTTATTAGCATTAGTCACCTGCGATGCTGTCTCACTTGTGGAGGCTTGTTCCAGGTTCCTAGCTGCAGTGTGGGATCCTCTGCACTCCTGTGCATGAAGGACAGACTTTTTAAGTTCAAAGTTTTCTCTATCCATTAAGACTAATCATGCTAACGGGGCTAACACTTGACGTCCAATGTCTGTGGTAAAACTCACCCAAGTGCTATCAGCTGTTAACTTTTCAATGACGTCATAAATGCCGCCTTTTGCTCGGGTAAGGCTACGTGGGAAAAATATTTCCGACTGGAGAGGATGTAGCGAGGCTCAACGTAGTCCAAAAATCTTTGTAATCCGACATCCTCACTAACGAAAAAAACCTTCCACACCACCGTCATTTTGACTTCTTCTTCTCCGCTGTGATCAGATCAGGTAGGAGCGCGTGACGTCATCACGTTGTGCTGCAGCTGCAGGCATCCTTGTCACTGGGTTGTCATACAAAAACAGCGTCTTTTATATCAGTGAGTTATTTTGATGGAATGGCTGATATTTAACTTTAACGCTAATATCGTCCAATACCGATACCATGCAGATAATATCGTGCATTCTTAGTTTTACACTAAGATCATCTTATGTTGAGATTTTGGTCTACTCTTGAAAAAAAAAAACGTAATGCACAATCTTATTCAACATTGCAAGATCACACACAGCAATTGAAGTATGTGTTAGGAATGACTTGCTACTACTAGATGAAGTTTTATCTCAGTATCAGTAAAACTGACTAAAGGAAGCCTTTTATGTGTGTCCTGTGATCAGTTTGCTTTAATGAGCATCTTGAATTGTGCTGACTACAAAGTTTGTAGTGGTACATCCAAACCTTCTGAAAGTTTCATAAAAAAAAACATCCAGTGGTTCATGAGATATTTCGCTAACATAGCAGAAAAACACATGTACACACAAACATAGGCAAATACATGACTGTACACGTTTCTTTGCAGCAGGAATTGAAAGCTTTTCCATCACTGTCATTTTCATATTTAAGTTTTTCAGGTAAAACTATCATGATCCAACCAGAAGTGTACAGCTAATGCTACAGCCAGCTGCTGCTGCCACTTCTTGCACCTGCAAAAAATGATCCATGCAAATGCTAATGACAAGATAACATTTGCATGAAGAACTTTGAAACTTTTTAGATGAAAGACTTACTGTACTAGCTATTGAATTACCACATTTGTGGTTTTGAACTTTTTTTTAAAACTGAGTCCTAAGTTTCTGGAAATCAGTGGTTTTCATTCATTTTTGGTGGGCCACGAAAAATACTCCTGAGATTGGTAATCCATCAGACTGATCAAATTCCCCGCTTTATTTATGTTTCAGTGTTACAGACGGACTTTTGCTTTTTGTGTGGTTATACAATGAGCAGTGTCCGTTTCTAAAAAGTGTTTTGTGAAAAACTTAAATCAACAAGACTCTGACATCTGAGATTTCAGGCTGCCAAAAGGCTTTCCACTTAAAATGTGTAGATCAACCACAAAAGAAAACATGTACGTGGATTAATGTGAAACTGGTACATTCTTCTTTGACTTATAGTTTGAGTTAATATTTTGGAAAGTCCTGTAAAGCACCAATAAGTTCTACCAACATTTCTGCTGGATAAGTCGCAGTTTTTTGCATAAATTAGCATGCCTGCGACTTATACAGTGACGCAACGTATTTATGTTTTTCCCCCCCATATTTCTAACCCAATTTTTGGTTGAGATCTGACAATTTCATTCATTCTGACATGGAAAATATTGAACACTACCATTTTCAGCCACTAGAGGGCCCTCGACTAATATGGCAAGACAAGTGTCTCATTAATAGGTAAAAGTGGCTATTAATGAGACACTTGGCTTGCCAGACCAAGTCACCTTGGTCTCGCTCCAGAACTCCTGGAGCAAACGTCAAATCAGCTGCATTTTGCCGCTACGCCCAGGTGAAATGCAACTGATTTGACCGTCAAAGTGCATTTATTAAGGAAAAGTTCAACTGAGACACACCTTTTCTATAATTTTGAGCAAACAAATAATTGTTTTTAGGTGGTTATCTTGTTAAATTTTGAAGAAATGCACATTGACTCATCCCTCTGCTCACTCCTGCAAATTGGCTTTTGAAATACAGCAGATTTGACCATTAAAGTGCATTTATTAAAGAAAAGTTAAACTGAGCCACAACTTTGCAGTAATTTTGAGCAAACAAATAATTGTTTTTAAGTGTTAATCTTGTTAAATTCTTGTTAAAGTCCTCTCGTGCGTGCTCCTGTGGCCACCATTCGGCAGCCAATCGATTTTTGGCACAACACCGGCCCACATTTATGAGCTGTCAGTGGTGATGCATTACAAACGCAACGTGTCAGCGGTGACGCAGAATAGATGCGACTTAAACGGCAAAGCGACGTATTTATCTTTTTTTCCACTTTATTAGACATATTTGGACTGATGCGACTTACACGGTGGTGCGACGTTTTCGGTGGCAAGTACGGTAATTTATTAGTACCCATTGAATTTAAAACATTGAATAAATGCAACTGAGCTGCATACTTTGGATATTTTTTATATATCAAATATTTTGATAGTTATTGAACAAACATTGCAGAACTCGCATTGGACACAGTTCTTGACACAACTTATTAATATATCAGTGCAATTTTCTTTTAAATAGCATTGTTTTTGTTTCAAAACGTTGATAAATATATAAACCCGTCTACTGGTTATTACTGCTACTGTTCTGTAATTAAACGTTAAAGTTTTTATAGGGTTGTAAGAGACAGATTGTCGTTTTAATTCACATCAGATAGGTGATAATGTGAATGCTGTAACATAGTTCAGGTAAACTGTGACGACCAGTCTACGTTGCTGCTTGACATATTCCTCAGGCCCTGCTGGAAGAGCCAAGAAATGTGCCCATACATTCAGTTTTCTGACACCGTTACACTTTTTATAAGTCCATGGAAATATTTTGATTTTGTCATTTGTTTAAAGACAAGTGGTAGCAAAGTGGTCCCTGAGCATGATTAAACCTCACCCGTGTTTAATTGTTGGAAGTTATTTTATTAATTTTTTTGCGGGACTATTGTTGTAAACAAACTAATACGCTGCATTTTAAAGTGTTTTGTATTATTTAGGAATTTTGTAGTATTTGGTAATAACCTTATGGTCTTTTGTTTTAATTGGTGTGCCACACTAACTTTAAACATAAAAATTTTATACGCATAAACAATTTTTAAGATTTTCTGAAATTCTGTTAAGTAAATTTGAACTCTTAAAATCATTTTCAGACTCCTATTTAAGGTATCTGATTTGCAATAGGAAATGAGCCTGAACGTTTACCACTTATCTTAAAAAATGTTTATTGTCATGTAAGAACACAAATTTGAAGTTAAGTTATATAAGCTTTCATAAACCACTGTTGTGGTTCTTAGTTTCTTGATGCGTTTCCACCGCTGCACAAACAGAACCCACACAAGCATTTCTTATAATTAGTTTCAGATTAGCAAAGTATACAGCTAGGGGTTGAAGTATTTCCAAATTTTCCAACCAGAATATGCAGAAACAAAAGTTTGTTGAAGCCAATGTGGATTATGATTATTCAGTCCCACTCTAAGCATGTGCTGTGAGGTCTTTTGGGTATTATGACGGAGATCAGCTGATTGCAAATAACTTGATCTGGCACAGTGTGAATGCATTCAGGTAATGCAAAACCTCAGCAGTGACCATGTCAGGAAGTGTGCGAGAGTAGGAGACTTTTTAATTTTTGCTGTTTGCTGCAACACTCAGAGGTCTTTTAGTGTCCACAGCTTTTATTTGTGTCATGCCTGCAGATAGTGGTCCAGTCTGGGTTCACTCTAGTGTAAATGTCAGGCTGAGCTCAGCGTGTGAGACAGCATTCCCCACTTCCAGCTCAGTCATGCCTCATGTCATATTGACTGATGGGATTCCCTGGAGCTGTAGTAAGAAGTGTAGTCTGTTTGTTTTGGTTGCTTTCTGTTTATATTCTCGTGTGTCAGTTGGTCTAAGTGCACATATATGTGTGTTTTGTACAATGATGTGTTGTATGTACTATAATCCAAAATGAAAAAAACCTCAGTCTTCTGAGAAATGGCGGCACGGTCTTTTCCCCAAATAGCACCGTGGCTGTGGAAGCTCTGCCTTCTCTGCGACAGCAACATTGTCATTTGGATGTGGATTTATGAGCATAATGGGCTTTAAATGCATGTGTGTGTAGCAGTGCTGCTGCATGAGTGGGTATAACAGTTCAGACGCTGGTTTTTCCAGACCAGCTCGTAAACCACATCTGGGGAAAGAATTTAGATTCCTTCCCTCTGTCTTTCTGCGCTGGATTGCGTTTCTCTCCCCACTGTGTGATTTCCTCCCTCCTCTTCTGTAGGGAAAACAAACAAACAAACAAACAAAAAACACCAAAGTGAGTTCATTTGTTTTGTAAGAGATAGTCTAGTCATGTTTGAAGTGATGCTCTGGTTATCACTTAGGCCGAGATAGGGTAGATGTAGGGCAGCCGACTTGGGACCCGAAAGTCAGGTTCGATCCTCAGCCATTCCCACATGTTGTGGTGTCTCTGAGCAAGACACCTAATCCCTAATTGCTCCCCGGGCACCTACATCGCTGCCCACGTTAAATGCAGATAACTAAATTTGCCATTGTATGGGAACATACAATGATGACAACACATACTTATTATTATTTAGTACTTTATCAGCATTAGTCACAAAACACAAAAAAGCAAAAGTCTGTCAACGCTAGGCTAATGGATAGCCAAACAAGTGCCAATTTTTTTTGTTTTTCAGCCTTATAAAACAGTAATTACTCAAACACAACATACCCATGTGAAAAAAAACCCCACTGCATTGGCTAACATGAAACCTCTGAACCTTTGGATGACATCATTTGTTTAGTTTGTCACTGATGTTTCAACCAGACAATGCATATGAATATGTGCTGAAATGTAGACTTTCAGGTACAAAGTAGTGATGGTATGATAACTTTTTGACTTTTTGAGCATGGACTTTGTTGTTTTTGACTGGACATTACTTCAGAAATTACGCCTATCTATTCCTTTAAGGTCAACTTCAGTCTGGCTTTAAAGCAAAGAAGAGAATCGTCTTATTTTGTCTGCTTGGCTCTGATCAGATCTGGTGTTGGGATAGATTCAGGAAGAAAATTAATAATAATAATAATAATAATGATTATGTGTTATGTGTTGTCATCATTGTATGTTCCCATACAATGGCGAAATTGGCTCTCAGCATTTAACCCATCGCACCTGGGATACACAAGTGGGAAGAAATAAAACAAGCAGTGGCAGGAGTTAAAAATCTGTTTATTTATGTGAGGCACAAAATGGTAATGAGCGTCAGGCACCATGCCTCTGCAGCTCTGTGATGATCCCATGTTCATGTTCATATTTAACAGGCAGACAGTGATGTTGACAGTGGACAAGCTTGTGCTGAGAGGTAGTAATAAACAAGAAGCTGTGGAGCAGAGAGGACAGGCTGCTCATTCTGTTCTTCTAATCATGTCATTCACCTGCTCTTTTTACAGACAGTCCCTGGCTTCACTCCGTTCCTGTGGGACAACCAGCACAACCCCAGTAGGTGACTGACACCTCCAAGCAGGCCGCCAGACTACTGCATTCTTTTTTCTTTCTTCTATTGGCTGGCTGCCAGAGCTTCCCCCATCCTGATTGGCTGTGGTGGGAGCGTGGATGGAGCCAAGGGATCTGGTTGGCTCAGCCCGACCCAAAGAGGCGGACCTTCAGGGTGGTAGGGCGGGGCCAAACAAGGAGCACCAAGTAGCAGCGGGAGGCGTGGCGTTGGCGCACGGTGACAATGTGATAAACGGCGCTGTCAGCGAGGGGGAGGGGCTAGAGGAGCAAGGGGAGGGACTTATGGAGGAGCAGGAGTTCTCCATCAAGGAAGCAAGTTTCCAAGAGGGAAGTCTAAAGTTGAAGATCCAGACCACCAAGCGCACCAAGAAGCCTCCCAAGAGTCTTGAGAACTATATTTGCCCGCCAGAGATCAGGATGACAATTAGACCTCCAACCGGAGAAGCCAAAGGCGGGCGACAAGGGCGAACAGGAGGCGGGGCAGGAGCAGGGCGGGGCTCGAAGGACGACGAGCGAGGTCCCCCCAGAAAAAGGGTAAGTCACCCTTCGTGTTATGCACTCAAAGTGAGCAATAAGATGTCAAGTACAATGTCTCTTCTGCATTTAAGGGTTAAAATCCTCATGTTGCCTATCTTAACATCTCTTCCGTCCCCCCAGCTTAGTTTACAAGTAGTCAAAGTTTGCTCTGTAATTGAAACCACTCTTAACGGAGATCACACAGCGACACGCACACACACACACACACACACACACACCGGGGCTGAGAATAGGTCTGACACAAGCGAGTGACAGCTGGTGTCTGCCCTCGCCATTTGTGGTCACACAAACAGACCTTTCCTGTCCCCTCTGCTCAAGCTTCTGTCCTCTGCTTTCCTTTTCTCTCCTTTAATGAAATCAGCCATCGTGGGTCACAGCCTTCAACCTCCCCCACACCCACCCCACCATCCCCCTCACTTCTGGTGTGTGTGACACCATGTATGTACAGGTCCTTGGGGGAATCTAGTGTTTGTGAGGCATGTTGACCTACACAGTGATGTGTGTGTGTCCAGACCGGATCGTCATCTCAGAGGCGCAGGGCTCGACAGGCCCAGCAGGAATAAAGGTGTCATTTTGTCAACGAGGTGGAAAGTCATGTTTTGCTCTATTAATCTTTAGTCTTGTGGCTTTATTTATTTATTGCTTTCTTAAACTTCCAGGACCTTCAGACGTAAAAGGCGCCCCTATGGTTCTTATTTTATAAAACCTAATTCAGCATAAACATCTTAATTCATTCTTTGATTGTTCGTCAGGAGCTCTTGCACATCCTAGACCATATTTGTCAAACTCAAGGCCCGGGGGCCAAATGTGGCCCTTGGTGACATCTTATCTGGCCCCCAAGATGATATGTTAAACGTAAAATACATTTTTCACTTGAATTTTTCAGTAATCTTTGATTATGATGTCAAAAGTCCAACAGAGAATGTCAAATGAGACCAATCAAACTCTTTTTTGAGGAACCTGCAACCAAGAAAAGATGTTGAGTATCTAACTTGAGTTAATGTAGATTCTGAAA